AGACCTGTCTTTGCTGCTTCCTTTGCAAGCCTATTTGTCTTGAGCTGCATATGCTCATACTTCTGGGACATAAGGCATAGATCGTCTGCAAAGTCGAGGTCTTCCAAACACTGAGTGAAAGTCCACTGGACTCCTGTCTTGCTATCTCTAGTTGTTTCCCGCATGATCCAGTCTACTACCACTAGAAAAATCATTGGTGACAGTAGACAGCCTTGTCTAACCCCTGTCTGCACCTCAAACGCTTCTGTAAGCTTTCCATTGTGGATGACTTGGCATGTAGCCTCGTCATACAATTGTTGTATGAGGTTGATAAAGGTAGGAGGCGTTCCATAATGCTGTAGTAGCTTCCAGATGACTTTTCTATCAACACTATCAAAGGCCTTTTCAAAGTCGATGAAGTTCAGATACAGTGTTGACTGCCACTCCAGTGACTGTTCGATTATTATACATAGAGTGACGATCTGGTCTGTACAGGACTTGTCCTTTCTAAAGCCTGCCTGTTCTGGACGAAGTCGTTCTTCTATAGCATCTTTGAGTCTTTCCAGTATTATTCTTGTCAGGATCTTGCTTGGACAAAGAGGAGCATGATGCCGCGCCAGTTCTTGCATTGTCCCAGGTCTCCTTTCTTGGGTAGCTTCACTAAATGTCCTTTTTTGAAATTTTATGGCTTTAATTAAATATATCAGGTACCAACTGGCTTAGAATCATCAAACTTTGTCTGTTGATGCATGAAATGTATGGAGATAATGAACAGTATTCAAGCTCAAAAGTCCATTAAACAATACAAAATAAGAGCAGAGCAAACACGTACCTCCAAACATCAGAGGTGGGATCAGGTGCCATGGAGAAGTGAGCATCCCCTGTCGACTGGTCACACCCGCCGTGTGCTCCTTGTCATTGTATCGACCATAGAACTTACAAAATGATGACTTTAAACGAGACAACTGATATTCTTGTTTCATCAACTTGTTTGTCAGTAATTTACCTTGTTTTAGAAATTGTACATATGTAGAGCATGCTCTTGCGTATCAAATCAACTGAGAGATATATACCCCATATGCAGGTGATGAAGGTGTTTTCTTCTTTTCATGTACAAGATTTTGGATAAATTCTGCTTCATATGAATACAAAAAAAGGTCTGCTAATAACGGGGTGCAATTGGTACCCATGGAAATTCCAATAGATTGTTGGAAGACCTGATCTCCAAAAACCACATAGATATTGTCAATCAGAAACTCAAGCATCTTTTTAAATGTCAACTTCAGAGTACTTGTGTGTACAATCAGAATGTTTTATTAACAAAATAATTTTGCAAATGACCAATGACAAGGTAAGTAAATTTAGGAGTTCCATTTTTATTGAAAAAGCAGCTGTCAATGATATGCAGCTGCAAAATGACATTATCTTTTGTATACATATAGTACACTGCACAGCGCTGAACAGCAACTGGGTCTTGCTGACGGTAAACAAAGGGAGATGAGCCGCATCAGTTGAAGTTTATTTTTGCAATCAAGTGATTTAGATCGACTCTGCTGCCACTACCTTGCATAAAAAATCCAAAAAATATTTACAGGCTTATTAAAGTAGCTCAGATGAACGCATTTCTATGTATAAATCAAAATGCTCAGGACATTGTTTCGTATGACCTTCAATGGAGTTGCACAGTGTCACTCTTGATCGATTCTTCAGCCAGTCTTTTTTTGTGTTTTCCCTCTTCACATACTTGGAAAAACCATTTCAGTCATTAGCTCACCTGATGCGAAATTTGTCCGTTGTCGTCATTGTCGTAAACTTTTCATATTTTCTTCTTCTTCTCAAGAACCACTGGGCCAATTTCAACCAAACTTGCCACAAAGTATCCTTGGTTAAAGGGGATTCAAGTTTGTTCAAATGAAGGGCCACACCTTCTTCCAAGGGGAGATAATTATGAATTATAAAAAAATTAATGTCATCATTTAAAAATCTTCTCAAGAACCACTGTGCTTGAAAATATGAAAATTATATGGAAGCATCCTCAGGTAGTGTAGATTCAAGTTTGATCAAATCATGACCCCCCGGGGGATAGGGTGGGGCCACAATGGGCAATCAAAGTTTTACATAGGAATACACTGGAAAAAATCTTCTCAAGAACAGCAAAGCCATGATTAGTCATATTTAAATGGAAGCATCCTCGGGTAATGTAGATTCAAATTTTGTTCAAATCATGACTCCCCAGGAGAATAGAGGGGCCATAAGAGGGGATCATAGTTATACAAAGGAATACAAATGATATGTCAATAAAAATTGTCTTGTCAAGAACAGCAAAGCCATTATTTGTCATATTAATTCAAAACTATGAAGTATAGATTCAAGTTAGTTCAAATCAACACCCCCCCCCCCCCCCTTCAAACCACTTTTATATCAAAACTTTTTTCAAGTCTTAACTGACTTCTGCTTTTTCCTAGCCAGAGTGCTCAGGTGAGTGATGTGGCCCCTGGGCCTCTTGTTTTAATATACTAAGGACCAGAAATCATTTCCATATATATATCAAACATTTATGACATGCGTATCTGTAAGCATATCTGTAAGAGTGAATTAAGGATCAAAACATTTGACACAGTCAGGTGCATTGTCTGTGTCAATCAAGCCACTATTTTTAGCTCACCTGAGTTGAAAGCTCAAGTGAGCTTTTTTGATCACCTGTTTTCCATCGTCTGTTCGTCCATCTGTCTTTCTGTCCGTCTGGAAACTTTTCACATTTTAAACTTCTTCTTAAGAACCACTGGGCCAATTTTGACCAAAGTTGGTACAAAGCATCCTTGGGTATAGGGAATTTTAAATTGTTAAAATGAAGGACCAAGCCCCCTACAAGGGGAGATAATCAAGAAAAGACAAAAATAGGGTGGGGTAATTAAAAATTTTCTCAAGAACCAATTGGCCAGAAAAGCTGAAACTTACATGAAAGGATCCTGGGGTAGTGTAGATTTTAATTTGTTCAAATCATGACCCCCCCCCCCCCCGGGGTAGGGGGGGGCCACAATGGGGGAATCAAAGTTTTACATTGAAATATATAGGAAAAATCTTTAAAAATCGTCTCAAGAACCACTGGGTCAGAAAAGCTGAAACTTACAAGGAAGCATCCTGGTGTAGTGTAGATTTTAAATTGTTTGAATCATGATCCCCAGGGATAGGACGGGGCCACAATATATATTACAGGGCCAATGTTACTCAGGTGAGCGTTGTGGCCCATGGGCCTCTTGTTCAACAAGTGGGATTTCAAACTGGTGGATATAAAACATTATAAAATTCATATTCTTTAAGACACATACACCAAAATTTAAAGAAACATAGTTTATAATACAGTTGTAAGGATTTTTATTTCTATTCCCCAAATTTTGAGTATTAAATACTTTTTCATGAGGTTTTAAATATAATATACTAATTTTAATTGCAATTTTGGGTTACTCCTTACACCAGACAATGAACTTTTTTTTATTTAAATAGGGTAAATCAGTGTAATAACTCCGTGTTTGTCCATAAAATTTTTAGTTATTGTTGATTTAATCTTTGTACAAAGTTTCATTAATTTATAACACAGGGTTCCTACAAAATACACTTGTCTATGGAATTTTGGGACAACTCTCTTATGTACATGTAGTTGCCCATGTGGTGCAGTGGTTAGAGCGTCTGTTCTAGAGTCGCGGAGTAAGGAGCTGATCCTTAGGTCACGGGTTTGAATACATTGCGGGAAGTGGAGACCGGTCCTTCGGAGGAGACCGTATAAACCGAGGTCCTGTGTCGCAGTAGGTGTTGGCACTAAAAAGATCCCTCACTGCTCAATGGTCCTGAGTGCCGAGTATAGGTATAAATTTGCAGCCCTACTCTGGCAAGTGTGGCGTCTCAACATGAGTTGAGGGATGTTAAACAACAGATAAACTAATAAACAAACTTACGTACATCTATATAATGAAATGCAGGCTCTGAGGGAATGGTTCCTGTCACGAGTATGATAAAAGAGCCATCCCACTCACAACCAGTAGATAAGGGTGTAATGTAGAAATTATAGTGAGTGCAGCAAGCGGTGCTGCTTGCGTAGCATGCTCTATAGACAACATGTACGAACAGAGGAAATTCAGGTTGAAATTTGCACATTGTTCAAAGAAATTTTATTGGGCCACATGAAAAAATTCTAAATTCCCAGTAACCCTATGCAGTGCATAGCAGCATGGTGGCTTAGGCATAGCAACAACTTACTAGGACAAATATTCAAACAAGAATATAATGCATTTTCCATACAACAAAAGTATCATTTGCATCCTCAGTAAACATAACTTTGTACGTGAGGTCATATTTTTGTCACTTCAAAGGCTCGGGATGTCCGATTTTGTTGGAAAAATTTCAAGAAGTTTGGAATATTGATCCCAATCGATGTATGGGAAGTTAGGTAAAGATAAAAAATATTCCTTTCAAGTTTTTTTAAATAAACTTATGATGTGGAGAAAATGCAGACTAAATTTTTAAGGAGTTTACTGAAGAGTGTAACATTATAAGCAGAATTCAAATGATATTTGAGAGGTGAAGGGAGCTGTACAGTAAATAGATATTTTTACAAAAATGAAACTGGTTAACTACGCTTGCCCTAACTGTTTTACCGTCGGGCATATTTAAAATTACCAAAGTTTTATTTTGATTTACCAGAGGCAAAGGCTCAATAAATATTCTGTTCAAAAAATGTTGCTTTGCCTTTCATAAAATGTCATCTGTGAACTTTTCACATTTTAAAATTTTTCTCAAGAGCAACTGGACTTATTCAGACTTGCCACAAAGACATCCCTGGGTGAAAAGGATTCAAGTTTGTTAAAATGTAAAGCCATGTCCTCTCTTAAGGGGAAATCATTAAGAAGTAAACAAAATATGGTGTAGTCATTACAAATCTCAAAAACAACTTAGCCAGAAAAGACAACACATGAAAGCTTCCTTTATGAGTGTAGATTCTAATTTTTATAATGATATGTTTGTAGATGATGATCTGCCATTACCAGAGGATACTGAATTGAGATGTTTCCAATACTTGGAAAAAGCACATAGGTAAAATGCTAAGCTCATTTTTAGCTCACCTCAACGAAGTTGGGGGAGCTTATGTAATGCCTTTGGCATCAGTGTTGGCGTCGGCGTCCCAGGTTAAGGTTTTTGGAGCAGTTTTCTTTTCAAGTACTTCTATGGCTTATATTAGTCAGAGATGCATGGAGGATGCTTCTAGTGTGTTTTATTGTACCAGTCAAGGTTTCAGATGCTGCAATTTCAGCTAAAGAATGACCAGGTTAATGTTTTTGGAGCAGGTTAAAGTTTTTGGAGCAGGTTAAAGTTTTTGGAGCAGGTCTCATTTCGAAGTAACTATAAGCCCTATATTGACCAAACTTGCATGGATGATACATCTAAGGATGCACACTACTGAACTTGCTTTGGATGCTGGATCTGACCTATATTTTCTGGATGAGTGACTAGGTTAAAGTTTTTGGAGTAGATCTCATTTCCAAGTAACTAAATGCCCTATATTGACCAAAGTTGCATGGATGATACATCTAAGGATGCACACTACTGGACTTGTTTCGGATGCTGAATCTGACCTATATTTTCTGGATGAGTGACCAGGTTAACGTTTTAAGAGCAGATGTCATTTCCAAGTATCTATAAACTCTATATTGACCAAACTTGCATGGATGATACATCTAAGGATGCACACTACTGGACTTGCTTCGGATGCTGGATCTGACCTATATTTTACGGATGAGTAACCAGGTTAAAGATTTTGGAGCAGATCTCATTTTCAAGTAACTATCAGCCCTGTATTGACCAAACTTGCATGGATAATACATCTAAGGATGCACACTACTGGACTTGCTTCAGATGCTGGATCTGACCTATATTTTCCAGATGAGTGACCAGGTTAAGGTTTTTGAAGCAGATCTCATTTCCAAGTAACTATAAACCCTATATTGACTAAACTTGCATGGATGATACATCTAAGGATTTACACTACTGGATTTGCTTCAGATGCTGGATCTGACCTACATTTTCCGGATGAGTAACCACATTAAAGTTTTGGAGCAAATGTCATTTCCAAGTAACTATAAGCCCTGTATTGACTAAACTTGCATGGATAATACATCTAAGGATGCACACTACTGGACTTGCTTTGGATGCTGGATATGACCTGGATGAGTAACCAGGTTAAAATTTTTGAAGCAGATCTCATTTCCAAGTAACTATAAGGCCTATCTGAACCAAACTTGCATGGATGATGCATCAAGGGATGAACAATCTCAAACTTGCTACGGATGCTGGATTTGACTTGCATTTTCTGGATGAGTGACTAATTTTAAGTTTTCAGATAAGTCTATTCCCAAGTAACTGCAAGCCCTATCAGACCAAAATTGCATAAATGTTGCATCTAGGGAAGCACACTCCAAGATTATTAGTTTAGTGTGGGACTTTGCCTTACTTAAAGACAATATTCATTGAGGTGAACTCTGTAATCTCTGATTACCTATGTTTATCTCAAAGATGTGGTAGATAAGGTGAAATGTTAAGCTCATTTTTATCTCATGGATATGGTAGATGTATGTCCCTACCAAAAAAAGTACAGATAAGCCATGCCTGTTTTGGATGATAAAAGGCACAAAAAAAGTATGCCATAGGTATCAAGATTGGAACCACTTGTTCAAGTATAGGTACCAGATTGGTACAAAAATTAAACAGGTATATTTAAAGTATGCCTATATATGTGCCTATACAGTACTTATATTTAATTATGGGCACTATTTAGGTATCAAAAATGCACAATATTGGCACATTATCACATAGGTACCTTTTAGGCATACCTAAAAAGTACCTAAGTATCTAACTTCAAATTACCTTTAAGGCTGTGCCAAAAGTATTCCTAAAATCCTAAAGTATGCTTAAAATGTACCTATGTTTAATAATGGACATAGTTAAGGTACCAAAAAACCACAATATTGGCACACAACTTGAGGCATACCTAAAATGTGCCTACAAGTCTACCTAACTTATGCCTACATGTATACCAAATTTGTACATAAGAATCTGTGCCAAAAAATATATTTCAGGTATGCCTATAATGTACCTATCAAACATGCACATCCCAGGTAGTTATACAGGTACATTTAAGGCAGTTCCATATGAAGAAAGATTTTAACAATAATGATTAAAGAACAAAATAAAAATATATTGCGTGATGTTACATGATAATATTCGAAAGACTGCTTTTTAAAAGGTCATCTCGATGAATGGGGAATCCAAGTTTTACATTGAAATATGTCCGTCAGTCTGCCATCCTTCTGTCCATCCATCTGTCTGTCCGTCTGTAAACTTTTCACATTTAACTTCTTCTCAAGAACCAATTGGCCAATTTTAACCATACTTCGTACAAAGCATCCTTGGGTAAAGGGGAGTTTATGTTATTAAAATGAAGGACAAAGCCCCCTTCCAAGGGGAGATAATCAAGAAAAGACAAAAATAAGGTGGGGTTATTAAATAATCTTCTTCTCAAGAACCACTGGGCCGGAAAAGCTGAAACTCATTAGAAGCATCCTGGGGTAATGTAGATTCTAAATTGTTCAAATCATGACCCCCGGGGGTAGGGCGGGACCACAATAGGGAATCCAAGTTTTACATTGAAATATGTAGAAAAAATCTTTAAAAATCTTCTTCTCAAGATCTTCTGGGCCAGAAAAGCTGAAACTTATGTGGAAGCATCCTGGGGTAGTGTAGATTCTAAATTGTTCAAATCATGACCCCCGGGGATAGGGCTGGGCCACAATGGGGAATCCAAGTTTTACATTGAAATATGTAGAAAAAAAATTTAAAAATCTTTTTCTCAAGATCCACTGAGCCAGAAAGGCTGAAACTTATGTGGAAGCATCCTGGGGTAGTGTAGATTCTAAATTGTTCAAATCATGACCCATTGGGGTAGGGAAGGGCTACAATAGGGAATCCAATTTTTACATTAAAATATTTAAGAAAAATCTTTAAAAATCTTCTTCTCAAGAACCATTGGGCTAGAAAAGCTAAAACTTAGAGGGCATCCTGCAGTAGTGTAGATTCTAATTGTTCAAATCATGACCCCTGGGGGTAGGGCGGGGCCACAATAAGTACTTCAAGAGGGGAAATCAGGTGTAAAACAGCCAGGCCAATTTACTCAGGTGAGCATTGTGGCCCATGGGCCTCTTGTTTCAGTTCATTTTCATGTTCCTATACATCAAAACTTTATTTTATATTTGAAAAAAAGGAAAAAAAAATTATTGTTTCATTTACATGCAATGTGTGCAGGTAACAAAAATATATCCTTCATCGACAAGAAAATTAAAGACCTATTAGTATTCACAGTGATTTCCATTATAAGTATGGATCCTTTTGATTTTTTAGCTCTACTGGTCAGAGACCAGAAGAGCTTACGCATTAATAAGGTGACCATCGTCCATCTGTCTGTTTGTCTGTAAAAAAATTTTCAGAACGCTATTTCTCCTACAGTTTTGGTCCGATTTTTAGCTCACCTGAGCCAAAGGCTCAAGTGAGCTTTTCTGATCAAAATTTGTCCATTGTTAGTCGTTGTCTTCCATGTCATTGGTGTTGTTGTTGTTGTTGTTGTAAACTTTTCACATTTTCATCTTCTTCTCCAGAACTACTAGGCCAATTTCAACCAAACTTGGCACAGAGTATCCTTGGGTGAAGGGGATTTAAGTTTATTTTAATGAAGAAATGAAAGGGCTTAGCCTTCTTCCAAGGGGAGATAATTACGAATTCATTAAAAATTTATGGCATCTTTCAAAAATCTTCTTCTCAAGAACCGCTGTGTTGGAAAATATGAAACTTATGTTGAAGCATCTTCAGGTAGTGTAGATTTAAGTTTGTTCAAATCATGACCCCCAGGGGTAGGGTGGGGCCACAGTAGGTGATCAAAGTTTTACATAGGAATACATAGGGAAAATCTTTAAAAATCTTTTTCTCAAGAGCACCAAAGCCTTGATTGGTCATATTTACATGGAAGCATCCTCAGGTAGTGGAGATTCAAGTTTGTTCAAATAATGACCCCCATGGGTAGGGTGGGGCCACAGTGGGCCATCAAAGTTTTACATAGGAATACATAGGAAAAAGCTTTAAAAACCTTCTTCTCAAGAACAGCAAAGCTATGATTGATCATATTTATATGGAAGCATTCTCAGGTGGTGTAGATTCAAATTTGTTCAAATCATGACTCCTGGGTGTAGGGTAGGACCACAATGGACGATCAAAGTTTTACATAGGAATATATAGGGGAAATCTTAAAAAATCTCCTTCTCAAGAACAGCAAAGCCATGGTTGGTCATATTTATATGGAAGCATCCTCAGATAGTGTAGATTCAAGTTTGATCAAATCATGACCCTCAGGGGCAGGTAGGGGCCACAATGAAAGTTTAAACTTGTAGGAAAAAAGTCACAGTTAGTCCAAAAAAATATGTAAGCATCCTTAGTTAGTGTTGATTCAATTTTGTTCAGATCATACCCATCCCTTTTAGGGGTAGGTTGGGACCACTTATGCATTTAAGCATTGCAATATTAAACTTATTTTTGCTTTTTTCCTAGCTAAAGTGCTCAGGTGAGCGATGTGGCCCGTGGGCCTCTTGTGATTTAACTTGGAACATAAGTAGACTACACTAATAAACATAATACTGTGTATCAGTTTTTGATTTCAATGAATGGTGTTGCCATGGTTACTAAAAATAGAAATTTCTGTGAAAAACTTTCAAAACACTACTCCTCCTACTGTTTTGATCTGATTTCAATACAACTTGGCACTAAAGTAGACTATAATAAGATACATAATTCTATATTTACATTCAGTGTAATTTTTTTTATGAAATCCATTAGAAATTTACGACGTTCAAATTTCTGTAACACACGCGAAACCTTGTCACCACGTGGTAGAATACACCTGTAAGAACTATATGCATTTTCAATATTTGGAACACCAAAATGAATTTTGTTTTGACTCAATTTAATATATAAAAAAAAAAATTTTAAAAAAAAAT